AATCTTTCTAAAATCGAAAGTCTAGGACCTATAAATATTTGGTAAATAAAAAATAAATAAAATTTTTTTTTGTCTGTAATAAATTTGTCCGTTATCAAGGTCTACTGTATCTTTATCTGTATTCGTTGGCGCCTCCGTGCAGAGATGAGTTTTCGATATTTATTTGTTGTTCCTTTAAGCATGATAACATTGGGTGAAACTTATATTATTAATATTTGAGTTCTTGGTCATAATTTTAAAAATTTTACTTATACAGAAGTTTAAATGACTCAAAATAATTGTGTGAACAGTTACATAATATCCAGTACACAGAAAATAAGTAGAGTTATAAGGAAGAGTTACATTTTGGATACTTTAACAAAACAAATTATCAAAAAACAGATCCCAAAATGATCAGGTTGCATGTACACATGCATTCCACAAAGAATTATTTTGATGCTCTGTGGTAATTATTCTTTGTAGAACACTTATCTACCTATCTCATAGCATAGCCATAAAAGACTGGTTGCTAACTACATATCACAAATATAAAATCATTAAGATATCTCAGCAGCATATTGTGGAATTAATATACAAATTTATGTTGGTCTGATAATAACCCACATGTGACAGCGGAAAGTCACGTTCAGCATCAATTTTCCTTTTTCGTCATTATTTTGATAGACCTACTGAAGGAAGTTCCATTGAATATCAGATAAAATATTTACTATCAACGTAAATGGCCCCATTTTAATTGCACAATGATTGACCATCTTAAATCCATGCAATTCGTCCACAAGCTGAAACAAAATGAAAATCATGTAATTAATTAATTAATAAGTATTGCAATTCATTAATTTATATGCACTAACTATTCAATACTTCATAATTATTAGGAAACATTATTATTGTGAATGCTTCCACATGGTGCGTAGTAGTAGAAAATTATAATCGGTTATTTATTTATGTTACAACTTTTTAGTAGTTTCATTATTAACGTTAAGTTAAACCAAACTTGTGTGGGTTGGAAGACGAAGATAATATCTTCTTGTTGGGTAATTTTGAAAGCAAATAACTTCTCCAAGAAATCATGCAAGGAATCCACCCGAAGAATAAACGA